GTCTCTTCCAACTCAACTGCCTCATTTGTGACTAAGAAACGTGAGATGCAGAGCCAAGAAGGCCTCCCCCTGGGCACATGGCACTTGCATTCTGGGCCCTGCCCTGCTGCCCCAACCCTAGCAGGCCACTTCCTCATAGACCAGTGGCAGGAGCCGTCGGGTGGATTGGGTGCTAAGATCAGCAGTCCAAGAGGCCAGGCTGGCCCAGAGCAGACACCCTCAGCCCTCATGGAGGCCAGCCTGGCGCCAGTGTCTCAGAGGAAATGTTACTAGAGTTTGGAGATCTGGGATATGCAGAGGACAGGGCAGAGGACAGCCATGGCAGAGGTCTCCTATCCAGCACCTCACAAGTCCACATCTCTCCAGGCAGGAGCCCTGGTCCTACTACCACCCACCTGCTTTGTTCCTCTGAACCATACCAAGGGCAGCAGGTCAGTGACAGAGGGACCCAGCAGGGAAGGACTGATAGGGTCAGAGCTGAGAGGGTAACGGCCAAGGTCAGAACCTCCACCTACTGTGGGGCAATGGGAAAATTCCTCTCCCTGGAATTCTTCAAGGGCATGCAATCTGGGCAATGGCAGGGGCATTGCACTTAACAGGCCCCCATGCTTGGTTTCGTGTTCTTTCGTCTTAATATTAAATTCTTAATGACTTTTGAACATAGGACCCCACATTTAAATTTTGCACCGAGCCCTGAAAATAATGAAGCCAGGCTTGTGAGCCTAGACTCTCATCCCACACCCTGCCTCACCTTGCTCACGTGACTGCTCCTAAGCTGACCACCTCCGAGTTCTGGGCTGAGGCTAGGCCCTCTGGGCGAAGACGTGTTTCTTAAAGGCCTTCTAAAATGACATCACAGTAGTGTTGCCATGGGCCCTCAGGCTGGCCAGGGGATGTGTTTTTTAGAGGATCCTTTAAATCCCACATACAAAAGAGAGCAGTAGGTGCTAGTCAAGATAACAGAATAGGCACTAACTGGTTTGGCTCAGCAGTTAGAGCTTCGGCCCTCAGACTGAAGGGTCTGAGGTTCGATTCCTGGTCAAGGGCATGTACCTGAGTTTCAGGTTCAAACCCCCTCCCTGGTCGGGGTCATGCAGGAGGCAACCAATCAATGTGTCTCTCTCACATCGATTTCTCTCTCTCTCTCTCTCTCTCTCTCTCTCTCTGTCTCTCCCCCCCCCCCCCCTACTCTATCTAAAAACCAATGGGAAAATATCCTTGGGTAAGGAGAGTGAGGATTAACAAAAAAAGATAATGGAGTAGGTAAACGTAGTACATGCGTCCTCCCACAACCACATCAAAATTACTGCTAAACTACAGAACAACCACCATTCAGAACCACCTGAAACCTAGCTGAACAGAAGTCCTATAACTAAGAATGTAAAGAATAACTCACGTCAGACTGGTAGAAGGGGCTGGTCCCACACCCACATATGGTGGTTAAAAATCAAGAGGACGTTCCCTGGCTGGTGTGGCTCAGCAGTTAGAGTGTCAGCCAATTCTGGTCAAGGGCACATACCTCGGTTTCAGTTCAATCCCCAACCCTGGGCCCTGGTCCAATCAATGTGTCTCTGTCACATTGATGTTTCTCTCTCTCTTCTTCCCTCCCTCCCTTCCACTCTATCTAAAAATCAATGGAAAAATATCCTCAGGTGAGGATTTAAAAAAATATAAAAAGCAAGAGGATATGTCAGCTACAGAGGAATCTCCCAAGGAGCAAGAGGTCCCAACCTCACACAAGGATACCTAGCCCAGGAAAAGAAGTCCCCATAACTTCTGGCTGGGGAAACCAGCAGGATTGTGGTTGAGGGAGACGGAGGTCTGTTGGAGTCCCAGGCATTCCTCTTTTTTTTAATTGAATGTATTGGGGTGACATTGGTTAATAAAACCATACAGGTTTCAAGTGTACAACTCAATAACACATCATCTGCACACTGCATCATGTGCTCACCACCCAAAGTCAAGTCTCTTTCTATTTCTATTTATCCCCCCTTTGCCCACTTCCACCTCCCCGCAACTCCCTTTTCTCTGGCTATCACTATACTGTGGTCCATGTCTATGTGTCATATTTTTGCTTAATCCTTAACTTTTTTTCACCCGGCCTCCCAATCCTCCTCTCCTTGATTAGATTCCATATATAAGTGAGATCATATGGTATTTGTCTTTCTCTCACTGGTTTATTTCACTTAGGATAATAATCTCCAGGTCTATTCATGGTGTCACAAAAGGTAAGATTTCCTTCTTTTTTATGGCCAAGTAGTATTCCATTGTGTAAACGTGCTACAACTTTTTTATCCACTCATCTACTGATGGGCACTTGGGCTGTTTTCAGATCTTGGCTATTGCAAATAGCTCTGCTATGAACATAGGGATGCATATATTCTTTTGAATTAGTGTTTTGGATTTCTTCAGATATATTCCAAGAAGTGGGATTGCTGGGTTAAAAGGTAGTTCCACTTTTAATTTTTTGAGGAAACTGTACTGTTTTCCACAGTGGCTGCACCAGGCTGCATTCCCACCAACAGTGCACAAGGGTTCCCTCTTCTCCAGATCCGAACTTAGGTGGAATCACTCTGAGCTCCAGTGCTGGGGCAGCAGCTCGAAAGGTGCCAGGAACATATGGGGAGGAACTGAATTGTCTGACTTTGGAGCAGGAGCTGGAGGGGCAGCTTTCTCCCAGACAAAAGTGCTGGCAGAGGCCACTGTTCCTTTGCTGAGCCCTCCCCACACAGACCCAGCGGTGGGCATATCTGAGTCTCCATCAACCTGGCTAAGGCTTTTGGGCCCACCCTGGTGATGCCCTGAGGCCCACCAACCCAACTTCCAGCCACTTCCAGTGTCATTTCCATGCAAACGGCTTGTCTTGGCTCAAACTACAGACTTTCTTAAAATCTCTCAGAGGTTCACAAACCCCAAACAAGCAGCCTCTGGCCTCAGCCAGCCCCACACTTCTTACTTAGTGGCCCCAGGACCATTGCTAGCAGCAGCCAACCTCAGTTCGCAATGTGGCTCTCCCAGGCACTTCCGAGCCCAGCACAAATAGCAGCCAGCTTCAGATTGCTTTGTAGCTCATGTCAGGTAGCACCAGGCAGAGCATAGATAGCAGCTGACCTTGGCCTGCACCTCCCAGGAAGCTCCACAGCCAGCATACCAGGTGGACAGCTTCAGACCACGCCGCAGCACCACTAGCCTCCTCCAGAGCAACACACTCAAGTGGCGGACTCATTGGGGAACAGAGCCTGATGAAAAGATTCCTGCTCTCTTCCATATTCTGTCTACAAGAGACCACTTCAGATCGAAAGACTGAAAGTAAAGGGATGGAAAGAGACATTTCATGAACATAGAAATTAAAAAAAAAAAAAACTAGGGTAGCAATACTCATACCAAACAAAATAGACTTTAAAATAAAGGCTATAACCAGAGACAAAGAAGGACTTGGCTATTCTACTTCTGGATATTTATTCAAAGAAACACAAAACACAAAATCAGAAAGACAGATACATTCATATGTTCCTTGCCACATTTTTTACAACAGCGAAGATATGGAAGCAACCTGAGAGTCCATCAGTAGATGAATGGATAAAGAACTTTGCATAGGTATAATGGAATATGACTCGGCCATAGAAAAGAATGAAATCTTGCATCTGCAACAACATGGATGGGCCTAGAGGGTATTGTGCTGAGTGAAATAAGTCAGACAGAGAAAGACAAATGCTATATGGTTTTACTTATATGTGGAATCTAAAAAACAAAATAAACAAATAAGCAGAACAGAAACAGACTCATAGATATAGAGAATATCTTGACAGTTGCCAGATGAGAGGGGGCTGGTGGGGGGATGATTTAAAAAAAGGGGGAAGGCATAAAGAAGTACAAATTGGGCCCTGGCCAGTTTGGCTCAGCGGTTAGAGCGTCAGCCTGGGGTCCGGAGAGACCCGGGTTCGGTTCCCGCTAAGGGCACGTACTTCGGTTGCAGTTTGTCCCCGGCCCTGGTTGGTCGTGCGGGTGGCAGCCACTCGATGTGTCCCTTCACATCGATGTTTCTCTCTCTCTCTCCCTCCCACTCTATCTGTACAAAAAATGGAAAAATATCCTCGGGTGAGGATAAAAAAAAAAAAAAAAAAAAGAAGTACAAATTGGTAGTTACAGCATAGTCATGGGGATGTAAAGTATAGCATGGGGATGTAAACCCAGGAATATAGTTGATAATATTATCATACTATGTATGGTGTTAGATGGGTACTAGTTATATTGGGGTGATTACTTCATAAGATATATCAATGTCTAATCACTGGGTTGAACACCTGAAACTAATATAATGTATGTCAGCTGTTAATTGAAAACTAAACAAACAAAAAAAAGTAGTAGAGAAAAGCATGAATTTTGGGGGTCAGACAAACTTGGTTCAAATTCTGATTCTGCTGTTCGCTGTCTGAGTGATCTCAGAACTCCATTCCTTAGCTTATCTGTAAAATGAGGATTACAATTATGTCCACCTCAAGGGTTTTGGGGAGGATTAAATGAGATAACACAAAGTGCTTGGAACAATATCAGGCAAATAGTAGGTGCTGGATAAATGTTAGCTGGGTTCCATTGTTAGCCCCACCACTTGCTCCAATGTGAACATAACTTGTTTGCATGTGGTTTTCTTGGGTATAAAATGAGGATGTCTGGGTGCCCACTGCACAGGGCTTTGGGAACCATCATCAGCATAACCCTCTCCTCTAGAAAGCTTTCTCGACAATCCTCCTCTCAGCCTGATTGTTGCTTGCACTTTTTCCACACTAGCACATGTGACACTTAAATAGGAACTCTTTCTGTGTCTGCCTTCCCCTCCCAGGAAACTCTTTGGGCAGGAACAGAGTCTGATTTTGCTGGTATCAGCAGAGGGTGAAGGATGAAGGAGTGAATGATAAGGGGAGTTCAATTATCCCTGGGAGCTGCTCGCTCACCAGGGTAGTGACCAATATGCCCTGATGGTGTCTCCTCTCTTTCCCCAGATCTGTGCCTCCTGGGAAGATGCATTTGCCCCTGATACTGCTGGCCACAGTGGGCACCTGTCTAGGACTGCTGATGGCAGCTGCTGCAAGCACTAACCCTGCCCAACTGGACACTCCTAGCATGCTACCCACCCACCGGCGCCAGAAGAGACATTGGATTTGGAACGAGATGCACATTGATGAAGAGAAAAACACCTCACTGCCCCATCATGTGGGCAAGGTAAGGCTCAGGCCCAGAGCAGGAGAGGCCTCAGCAGTAAATGACCCACAGTAGTGATGGTGGTGGTTGTAGGGGTGGGGATGACAGTTGTGAGGGTAATGGTACTGGGGGTAGAGATGATTGGGGTGGTAGATGCAGTGGTGGTGATGGTCGAGATAATGAAGGAAAAGATGATGTAATAATGGTGATGATGATGCGGATGGTAAAGAGGAAGGTCATGGTGGTGGTAGTGGTGAGGATAATGGTGGTAATTGATAGTGATGGAGAAGAGAAAGGTGGTGGTGATAATGGAGGTGATGATGGTAATTAGGAGTGGAAGTTGGTGGTGGTGGTGGTGGTGGTGGTGGTGGTGGTGGTGGTGGTGATGGTGGTGGTGATGGTGGTGAAGAGGAAGGGGAAGCTGGTGACAGTGGTGGTGGTGATAATGGAGGTGATGATAATGGTGATGGTGGTGATGGGGAAGTGGAAGTTGGTGGTGGTTGTGGTGGTGATAGGGAAGAGGAAAGGGAAGTTGGTGACAGTGGTGGTGGTAGTGATAGTAGAGGTGATGATGATGGTGATGATGGTGATGGGGAAGTGGAAGTTGGTGGTGGTAGTGGTGGTGGTGATGAGGAAGAGGAAGGGGAAGTTGGTGACCGTGGTGGTGGTGGTGATAGTGGAGGTGATTATGATAATGGTGATGATGGTGATGGGGAAGAGAAAGTTAGTGGTGGTGGTAATAATGGTGGTGACAATGAGGAAGGGAAAGTTGGTGATAGTGATAATAGTGGTAATGCTAAGGAAGAAGTTGGTGGTGGTAGTGGTAATAGTGACCATGATTGTGATGGTGGTAGTGGGATGTGGTTGTGGTAGAAATGATGGTGTACACTATGGTTTATTTTCTCCCAGACCTTGGTCTGTGGACCAAATATCACTGGTTGAAGTGCTATCCCGTGCACAGGCTGAGAAGACCAGATCAGGGCTTAGGACAGAAGCAGCAAAGCCTGCCATAAAATTTTCCCATATGAAAGGTCTGGAAAACCTGAGCAGACTTCTATGAAATTGTACTGGTGATAAAGTTAATGGTCCAGGCAATAGTTTGCCAACCCTGGTCTAGGCCTTTGAACTTCCTCAAAAAAAACTTTCTCTCAGACCATCCCTCCCTACTTTCCTGTCACCCTACGGAGTCCCCCAGATTCTAGAACACCCACACAAGGTACTTGACACAAGCCTCCCCTCCAGAGCTCCAATGCCCACTTCCTCCCTCTAAAACTTGTTCACCCCCAGTCACCTTTCCTAGAGCTCAGGGTGATGACTGAACTGTCTGTGCTACACTGCTATTGATGGCAAAACCGACCATTCTAATTCAAAAGAATCACTCTAGTGGTGGAATTTCACACACAGTGACAGGCAGATGGACTAGGTACTTTGAGAGTTTTCAATGAGGAAAAGAATTTCTTTTAAGTGCATCAAATCTCACCATGTCAGTCCTTGGAATTTAATATAGTAGCTACAGAAATAACAGCTTACTGTGCTGATGAAAGGAAGTATGGTACCAGGTTCTGAGGAGACCACGGTGGGCAAAGGTAACATGGTCCCCATTCTTGTGCAGCTTTCAGTCTAAAATAGGGGCTGGCAGAACTGGCCTGCCACCTGGTTTTGTAAATACAGTTTTATTGGAATAGAGTCACACCTATGATTTAGTCATGGTTGCTTTCATGCTACAATGTCATGTTTGTATAGTGTGATGAAGACCATATGAGCTATCAAGTTGAAAATATTTGCTATCTGGCCTTTTCTGGAAACAGTTCACCCACCCTAGTCTAGAAGGATAGCACACATTAGACAAAGAACCCCATGAGCAGCAAAGATGCAGGAGCCCTCTGGTTATAGGGAAAAAGACTGGAGAGGACCCTTTGACGGAAGAGGGTCCAGTCTGATCTTGCATCAGAAATACCACAGCAGCTGGGGGAACCCACTCAAAGCTCCGCCAACAACCAACTGGCTGTGCCCATGGCTCCTTTGGCTCCCAAGAGTTACGGGGCAGTTAAAATCCCTCAGTGTGACTACTCAAGGGGAAAAGACACTTGCCCAGGATACAGCCCTAGGTGAACACAGCGCCAGGAAAGCACAGGGCTCCTGACTCCCAACATGAATATGAATGCCGTGTCATACAGAAAAATTCCATCAGCCCACCCACGTCCTTCATGGCGGGATAATTGTGCCATGAATCAGCCACTGCAGAGAGTGGCTGGTCCCAAGGAAATCTGCAGGGTGAGTCAGAGATTGTCAGCAGAAAGCAGGGAACAGCTGCGTCATGCACAGCCTGACATGGCCACCTTTGAAGGGTTCACCCAAGGGTCTTTGAGCAGCATCAGGCCTGCTGTCATCTGCCATCAGCGTTCACTTGGTACCTGTAATTGGGCTGGGGGGACAGCGTAGCCACATGCAGTCCCCACCCTGGATGGAAACAAGGGTGCATGGGAGGAACAAGGACGGGGCTCCAGGATCACCTCCTAGCTCCCAAAGATGGCATCTAAGGGAAGGTTGAAGCCCCTGTTTCTCAAGGCCAGAGCACAGAGCCTTTGTTTACAGAGCTGGTTGGACAATGGGAGTGAGCCCTGGGCAGACTTCCGAATCCACAAACACGGGTCAGCATGGCATTGGGCACTAAGACAATGTCAAAATATAGTGATAATTAAAAAAAATTTTTTAAATATGTTTTTATTGACTTGAAAGAGACAGAAAGGAAGGAAGAGGGAGAGAGAGAAATGTCGATGAGAGAAACATAGATCAGCTGACTCCTGCATGACCCTACTGAAGATCAAGCCCGCTACTTGGGCATGTGCCCTGACTGGGAATTGAACCCGTGACTTCTCAGTGCATGGGATGACGCTCAATCCACTGAGCCACACCAGTCAGGACTATAGTGATAATTTTTAAAGAGGAAGGCTCTCCATAACCTCAGTCTAATTATGGGGGAAATGTCAGACAAATTCCAACAGAGGGACTCCTACACCAGGACATCTCCAAATAGTCAAGTTCATCAAAAACACTGGAAGTCTGAGAAACCGTCACAGCCCAGAAGATTTTAAAGAGATATGATGACTAGATATAATGTGGTGTCCTGGATGGGATCTGAGAACAGAAAAAGGGCATTAAGTAAAAACTTCAAAAATCTGCATAAACTATGGACATGGGTCAATAATAATCTATCAATATTGGTCCATTAATTATAACAAAGGTACCAGAGTAATAATGTAAGACGTCATTAATAAGAGAAATTGGGAGCAGGAAGTATGAGAACTTTCTGTACCACCTTCTCTACTTTTCTATAAATCTAAAACTGAAAAATAAAGTCTATTTAAGGAAAGTTGGAGGGAAAGAAAACAGAAACTTATATTCAAATAAAATCTTACACAGAATTCTAAGAAAATAGATCAAAGCTGACTCACTCCCCCTCACTATTCCTGTCCATGTGGATCCTAACACACCCACTCAGAACCAAGTTTGGAACTACCATTTTATCCTATCCCTGAGAAACTCACAGGGCCCAAGCCTGTCTCTCAGGCCACAAGTTACAGAACCTAACTGTTCATCAGATGACTCGGCCACTGGGTCTTAGGACTTCCACATGAACCCATGGGCCTGCCCCTGCACACTGCAGCCCTGCTCCAAGAAGCATACCACCTCCAGCTGCTGCCCCGCCTCCCCCTCCCTTGTTCACACCCAAGGAAAATGTCCTCCCTCCCCATCTCTACTTCCTCACCTTGCAGACTCTTCTCTATGCTCTGTTATCTGGCTTCTCACCCACCCACCCCCTTGATGCTGCTCCCACCAAGAAGTCCAATGACTGCATGCTGCTAAACCTTGGAGACATCCGCGAGGCCTCATGGGATTTGACCACACCCTTCCTGACACTTCCTTTTCTGTACACCTGAAACTCTTTCTTGGCCAACAGACATGAAAAGATGTTCAACATCACTAAGCATCAGGAAAATGCTAATTAAAACTACAATGAACCATCACTTCACACCTGCCAGAAAGACTGTTATAAAAAAGACAACAAATAACAAGTGTTGGGGAAGATGTGGAAAAAAGGGAACCCTCGTGTACTGCTGTTGGTAGGAATACAAATTGGTGCAGCCACTATGGAAAAGAGCAAGGGGGTTGGGGGTCCTCAAAAATTAAAACTATAACTACCACATGACTCTGCAATTTCATTTCTGGGTATTTATCCAAAGAAAACAGAAGCACTAACTTGAAAATACTTATGCACCCCTATGTTCATGCAGCATTATTTATAATAGCCATATGTAGAAGCAACCTAGGTATCCATCAATAGATGAATGAATAAAGATGTGGTACATGTATGCAATGGAATATTATTCAGCAATAAAAAAGAATAGAATATTGCCATTTGCAATAACGTGGATGGACTTAGAGGCTATTATGCTAAGTGAAATAAGTCAGAGAAAGACAAATATGTTATTTCACTTACATGTGTAATCTTAAAAAAAAAAAAAAAAAACAAGAAAAAAAATCATAAATACAGAGAACAAATTGATGGTTGCCAGAGGGGAGGGCAGTGGGAGGAATGAATGAAAAGGATGAAGAGGAATAAGAGCTACAAACCTCCAGTTATAAATAAATAATTAAGTCATGCAGATATAATGTACAGCATAAGGAAAATAGTCAATATTATCATAACTCTGCACCGTGACAGATGGTTACTAGCCTTACCGTGGTGATCACATCATAAGAAATACAAATGTCGAATCATTGTGTTGTACACCTGAAACTAATATTGTAAGTCAACTACACTTTAATTTTTAAAAAGTGCAGTGTCACATTTAGGATCCCTGGCCAGCACCACACACACATACGTGAAGAAGCATGCATGTGTGTACGTACATGTACTTGCACACATGTATGTACGTACACACATGCACTTGCAAACTCACACGTACTCACACACAGCCAACACTGCCCTTTCCCAGCTGAGAGCACCTCTTCTTTCCTAGATCAGATCAAGTGCAAACAACAAGAAAGCCAAGTACCTGATCAGAGGAGACTCTGCCAACAAGGTCTTCCGGGTCAATGAGGACACGGGGGACGTGTATGCCTTTGAGAGGCTAGACAGGGAGAAGATCTCTGAGTACCACCTCACTGCCCTCATAGTGGACAGGGACAACGGAAAGGACCTGGAGTCTCCTTCCAGTTTCACCATCAGTGTTCACGATGTGAATGACAACTGGCCTGTGTTCACTCACCAGTTTTTCAATGCATCTGTGTCCGAGATGTCGACTGCAGGTACGTGCTCAGTCTGTCCCTCTCTCCTCTTGTCCCTCTCTCCTCTTTCCCCCTCATCCCTAGCCTGAAGGCACCTCTCCATCAGCTACTTCACTTCCTGATCCCAGGATTCAGTGGATTCAGGGCAGTGATTTTAATGACCCTAGTCATAAACTGAGCCCTGAACTTGACCATAGACTAAACCCTGACCCTAGTCATAGACTGAGCCCGATCCTGATCATAGACTGAGCCTTTGCCATCAGACACATGCACTTCTGATTACTTTTTTTTTTTTTAATCCTCAATGGAGGACATTTTTGCATTTATCTTCAGATAGAGCAGGAGGGAGAGAGGGGGGAAGAGAGAAAAAGAAACATCGATGTGAGAGACACACATCAAGTGGTTGCCACCCACAAGACCCCAACCGGGGAGGGGAAAAACTGCAGCCGAGGTAGGTGCCCTTAGCGGGAACTGAACCCGGAACTCTCCAATCTGTGGGCCGACACTCTAACCGCTGAGCCAAACCGGCCAGGGCCTGGTTACTCTTTAGAACAAGCCCCACCACTGCTCTGACTCTCAGGTCTGACACAAGAGCATAGCCTTTGCACATGAATAATGCCAAACTGCCACCATGGTAAAATGAGACATCTCTGGAATCTATGCAGGAGCAGGGCAGGAGGTGGGGGGGACTAGAGCCCTTACCCCAAGGTGTGTCCCTAAGTCTGGACCACAGGCCTCCAGCGGTTACTCTTCATTCATTCCTTAGCTTTACCCCAAGCCTCCAGGAGGTACCAGAAAAGGATTCCTTTCTCTACCCATTAGTTCAGGGGCCCTGGACAAGGCCCTGGGATCAGACCTTCCTGTTAAGTATGGGGATCCTGGTGTTTTAGGGAAAAAGACCTGTGACATCCACCCCTTTGGGGGCACTTTCCCAGCCCCTTGCTTCTACCCTTCCAGGGGAGGAAAGATGCAGCTCGTCACTCTCCTAGGTTTCTCCTCAGGACCCCAACCATGCACCCCTCCCTCATTTCCCCCATAAATGTAAACCACCTGTTCTCTCTGCCCCCTTCAAGGCTGACCAGGCTAGGCCTCCACCCCCACCAGCCCCATGCAGGCTCCACAGGAAACAAAACAGCCTTTTCTCCCTCGGGCCCTGGGGGAGGTGGGTCAGGGACCCTGAGTTCCATCTGCCCTTATCTGGGAACCGGGTGGGGGGCTGGCAGTCATAAGACTGCAACCCCTGGACTCTCTCTCCACAGGGACCTCAGTCATCCAACTGACAGCAGTGGACGCAGATGACCCCACGGTGGCAGACCACGCCTCTGTCTTGTACCAAATCCTGAAAGGAGATGAACACTTTGGCATTTATAATTCTGGTCTGTGTGACTAACCATCCTGTGGCTTGGAAGGGGGACAGATATTGCAGGTGCAGGTGCCAAGGGAAGCCCAGTCTGACAGGTGTCACCAACCACTGAGCCACACTCTGCTATGAAGGTGGTCGGTATCACACATTAAGACAAGGTGGCTGGTGAGGGCAGAAGGAAGCAGACAGGTTCCCAAGACATGGTCTACAGCCTAGGGAACAAAATCAGGACCCAAGCAGTGACACAGCTGGCAAGAGTGAAAGCTGGATAGCACTCTGGGTGCAGATTCAGACAGACTGGCTTCCTAACCCAGCTCTCCACTCAGCCTCGCTAAAGACCTTAGGCAAGTCAGCTAGCCTCTGCAAGCCTTCGTTCCTTCATCCAAACATGGGAATGTTATATTCACTTTGCATGGTAGCTGTGAAGTCTGAATTAGATATTGCATAGAGAGCACTTGGCCCATTGTAATTACCCACTCAGTGTGACTTTAAAAACTGTAAGGACTGAGTCTTAGGAGCAAGACAGAAGTCCAGTTGACCAGGCCTGGAGGGATGGCAGATACACAGCTTCAGACACCACTCACCCTGCGAGGCACCAAGGCAGGCGTCACTGATCCTTCACAGCCCTCTCTCCATGCTGAGCCCAGAGGTAGCCTCGTGCTCTTCTTAACACCATGCTCCAGGCAGCTAAGACTCATATTAGACCAAATTGTTTGGGCAGCTTTGGCCTCGAAGTGCAGAGCGTGAAAGCAGGGGGTGGTTGACCTGTGTCCCTCAGCCTGGCTGCATGCTTGAATCACCTGGGGTCAGGTGATCTCAGGAGAAGGCTTGGACAACAGTCTTTTCCACAAGCTCCCCAGGTAACATGGCTCCTGCTGGGACACATTTTGCAGGACTCATTTTCACAAAAACCAACAACTTGGACCGAGAGACACAAGCCAAGTACGAGATCGTGGTGGAAGCACGAGATGCCCAGGGCCTCCGGGGGGACTCAGGCACAACCACCGTGCTGGTCACTCTGCAGGACATCAATGACAACTTCCCCATCTTCACCCAGAGTAAGCCCTTCCCCTGGGACTCTCAGGCTCTAAGGAAAGAGCTGGGAGTTCCTCTACCTCTCTCCCCACCCCAGAGTGAGCCTAAGTCCCAGGGAAGTCATTCTGGTGAAGGGAGAGGCCCTGCTCTCCAACCCTGTACACATTCCCAAGTCTGTCCTACTGCCTCCTGACACAGGACCCTGACCTCACTCACAGACTGATTCTCCCCAAAAATGTCTGACAAGAGCTTGTCACATGTCCTGGGTGGGGCTAGGGAGGAAGTCAGATGGCTCTTCACTTGAACTGTCTGATGCTGAAGCATAATTCAGAGGCTCAGCCACCTCAAGGACAGGCCAGTTTTCCTGAAGTGGCCTCGTGTGTACAGCATAAGCTCCCTGAAGGCAGTACTTATCTCCTTGTCTCTCTTGTCAACGGATAACTCCCCTAGAAAAGTACGTAGCACACAGTGGGTGCTCAATAACTAGATGGAAGGATGGATGGAAGGAAGGAAGGAAGGAAGGAAGGAAGGAAGGAAGGAAGGAAGGAAGGAAGGAAGGAGCGAGCAGAACCATTTTGCCTTGGGACTCAAAATTTCAATGGCATCATTATTATTATCATTTATTATTTTTATTGTTTTCCCATGCCCATTTCCTATATCAGAATATATTAGGGTAGCAGGAGGGATAATCAACTTGTCTATCTTATTAACCCAATGCCCTCTGGGGTACCCTGTTTGCACCAGCCCAGTACATATTTACGGTGCCTGAAGACATCCATGTGGGCAGCCCCCTGGGCTCTCTGTTTGTTGAGGACCCAGATGAACCCCAGAACCGGATGACCAAGTACAGCATCGTGCAGGGAGAGTACAGAGACAGCTTCACCATCGAGACGGACCCCACCCACAATGAGGGCATCATCAAGCCCATGAAGGTTTGCAGGCCTGGGGCAATGGGGACAGATGTGGGGTTGGGGGCTCCCGGCATCCTCAGAACTCACCCAGGATTGGCTACCAGGTCAGAATCCATCAGAGGTGCACATGTGGGTCAGCTTGGAGCTGGCCATGTGCTCATGGAAACTGGGACAGGGGAGCCAGGATGAGTGCCTTAGGCTGATGTACCCCCAAAGCAGACTGTGAAGCAATGATTTGGTGTAAATAGCTTATTTGGGAAATGATCCAGGAAGCCCCAGGAGCAGTTACATGTGAAAAAAAGGAAGATGATGTGGGGCTCCTTTGTGAGCAGATTTTCACCATGGGCAGTGGGGGCCTAGTCCCACTGGGGGCGGCTGCCTCAGAAGGGCAGCAGCTGAGTGTGGGAGCTGTGGTGTAGAGTGAGGGCTGCCCCTAGGCACATTCTCTCCCTGGTACTTTCCAGCTGCCCTGGACACCGGCCTGTAGAGCGCCATGGGTCACAGGTGCTTGTAGCAGAAAGCCATCAGCCACAGGAAACAGTGCATGCTGTGGGGGTGTCAGTGGTCACTGGCAGTGGCTGCTGACAGTGGTCAGAGCAACTGAATCTGGAAGTGGAGGGAAGGTCCTGCCGGGGCACAAAGTGCCTTCAGAATGCCCACACAGAGGACTGGCAGCCCTGGGCCAGGGAGCATCCACCACAGATGGGACATTCTAGAACCCTCTGCCCGAGCCGGACCTCCAGCGGACCTCTTCTGAGACTGTCTCTAGCCCAGCCCTGCACTGAGGACTGGAGATACCCATGGGGGTCAGTCAGCCTTCATGGTACCAAAGCTCTCAGCAAACAGGGAAGACATAAAAAGGCAAAAAGGGTAGGGGGTATAAGTGCTACAGTGACCTGTACAGGGACAGTTTTCTGTGTCAGGAGGGATAGGTTCTGAGAGAAGGTGGGTTCTGGGACGTGAGGAGGAGAGTACTAAGCAGACAAGGGTAGGAGAAGATTCTTGAGCAAACACATAAGAAAAGACTCATCCTTAAGGAGCTGTGGCTAGAACCACTAGTCTTCGATCCCCTTGAAAGCAGGACGGGAGCTGATCCCTGTGTGTCCCCAATACTTGATACACGAGCCAAGCATAGAGCCAGGCTGAGGGTACAGCAATGGGGGACAGCTGAAGATAGCTAGGCCCAGCCATTCTCCTGATGATCTGTTAAGTAGGTACCATTCCAGAACTACTTTGCAGGATTGCTGTGAAGATCACATGCCACATGCTTGACTCTGAACAGGCTCTCACCATACTTTTCCCTCCCACAGCCCCTGGACTATGAACACATCCAGCAATACAGCTTCACCATCGAGGCCACAGACCCCACCATCAACCTCCGCTACTCAAGCAGCACCTTCTCCAGAAACAAGGCCCGCGTCACCATCAATGTCACAGATGTGGATGAGCCCCCTATCTTCCAGAAGCCCTTCTACCACTTCCAGCTGCAGGAGAACCTGAAGAAACCTCTGATCGGCTCAGTACTGGCTGTGGACCCCGACGCCGCTCGGAGGACCATTGGGTAAGGAGGGTGTGAGGTGTGGCTATCATGACAATCCTGGCCTTGAGGTTCTTCTGCCTGCTGGACTGAAACCCAGACTCAAAGGAGAAACCTGATTTTCCCGGCACATGTGTGAGAAGTGGCAGGAACAGGACTAGCACTAAGCTCTTCCACTAACCCACATGGCCATCTGGGATCTTGTCCCACCTAGCACAACCCTGGCCATCAGAGTTGCTCAACCTTGAAGGGTCTGCTCTTTGGATCCTGGCTCCCACAGGCCCCATCTAGGGAGATCTGACTATCTAGAGGGCAACAAACTAGATAATGTATATAAATCCTCTCCATGTTTTATTAAATTTGTCTTCCCAAAACCAAGAGAAAACGTGTCCATTTCACAGAGAAGTAACACAAAGATTGATAAAAGAAACACCAGTCACCCCACGCTCCCAGAAAACTCCTGTTCACCAAACTCATGCCTGATGTTGTCCTACCACACCTTTCTTCACAACCACACAAACAGCAAGATACATTAATGGCAGATTTGTTGTTTACTTGTCTGGTTTGGTTTGGTTTTCTATTGTTTTTAATTTGGGGGTGAGGATCATACCATGCCCATTTCATCACTACTTGTTCTTCCATCTCAATGAGACTCCTCTCTTCTACCCTGTGGGACAAAAGATTTACTTCTAACTCATACTTCTATCAGCCACTTAACATTAGATAGTATGAATTTAATCCAATCTCTTTTTACTCCAGAGGGGTAGCCAACTGTGCCAGCACCATTTAAGTAACTCATTGTTTTCTCACCTTCTTTACATACTAAGTTCCTGTATATACCCAAATCTATTTCTGAATCATCTATTCTAGCTCTTCTGTGGCAAAGCCACCCAGTTTCACCGTAACAGCTTTACACTGAAAATTATACACATAAGGCAAGTCCCTCCCTTGCTGTTTTTTTACTTTACATAATTTTTATGCACTCTAAAACATTCTTTCCTTTTATGAACTTTAAAATTATTTATCCAGTTTATAAATAACATTAGAATTCTAATGACAATCATGTTTACATATCAAGTTGGGGGATAGTTAATGTTTCTATGCTATCAAGTCGTCTTCTTAAGGACAAATTATGTCCCTGCATTCTGGCTACATCTCTTAAGTTCTGGGGCTACTGTTTTCATGGTCATTCTATTCTAAATAGTCTATAATGATCATTTTTGTTTCTTCATTGATCCACGTGTTTGTTTAGGATTGATTTTTTTCTTTTTACTTAGAAGAGGTAGGGTATTTTATATTTTTTCTTTAACTTGTTTTGTGATATAATACAATTGTATTTGTGTTCATTTATTTCCTTGAATGGTGAAGCTTTTGCTTTATGTATTTTATTATTTTTGTTGTTGTTAATCCTCACCCAGGGATATTTTTCCATTGAGTTTTAGATAGAGTAGATGGGAGGGAGAGAGAGAAACATCAATGTGAGAGAGACACATCGATTGGTTGCCTCCAACACATGCCCTGACCAAGGTCAGGGATCGAACCTGCAACCCAGGTACATGTCCTTGACCAGGAATCGAACCCAAGACCCTTCAGTCCATGGGCTGATGCTCTAACCTCTGAGCCAAACCAGCCAGGGCACTTTATGTATTTGAATGTTTCTATTCTATCAACAACGGTTTATAACTATTTCATCTTCATTACACCTTTTATCCTATGACATTACCCAGTCTGTTCCATTTGAACATTCTGCCTTCAGTACCATGTTGCCTGATGTTAAGTTTGCCAGTACTATTTTCATGTTATTTGTGTTTGCCTGATATGAATTTTCCAAACTTTACTTTGAACTTTTCTAGGTCATTTGGCTTTAAGTTGTCTTTCAAAAATACAATGTAGTTGGCTTTGCTTTTTCATCTAAACTGCAGTGCTTTGTGTTTAACATATTTACATTTTTCATCAGAAATGATATGTTTAATTTTACTTCTTTTATCTTGTTTTGCATTTACCATTTCTCAAACTTAATGGGTTTTTTATTTTTCTCCATCTATTTTTTTCTCCTAGATATTTGGGTATAGTACATTCATTTTCACTTTTATCAGTGAGATTTACTTCCATCTATAAAATTATAAATGTTTTCCTGGACCTATATTTTCTAGTTTAAAACCTCTCTTTCTCTCTCTCTCTCTCTCTTTCTCTCTCATACACACACCACTGCTTTCCTATATATAATAATAAATCAGTAGTTTCATATTAATTCCTCCCAAAGTTTTTGCTTTATATTAAGACGTTTCTCACTTAGATGAAGTTTTTTTTTTTCTTTTTATCCACCCGAGGACATTTTTCCATTTTTTTGTTCAGACAGAGTGGGAGGGAAAGAGAGGAAGAGAGAGAGAAACATCGATGTGAAAGGGACACATCGAGTGGCTGCCACCCGCACGACCAGCCAGGGCCGGGGACAAACTGCAACCGAGGTACATGCCCTTAGCGGGAACTGAACCCGGGTCTCTCGGGACCGCAAGCTGATGCTCTAACCGCTGAGCCAAACTGGCCAGGGCTAGATGAAGTTTTGAAAAAACAAATTTTCAGGACCCATCTTTGTGGATAATAGATATACTTCCTGATTTCTTGCATAGTTACAAATACCATAGTTCTTTTGCCTTCTTATGTTCATAACACCTGGATGTGCTCATATAATACTCAGATTATAGACACATCACTCCAAAACTACTATCAATGTGTTCTAGCATTTAATTTTATGGGGACTTTCTGGGGTGAATCTGGTTTCTCTTTATAAAAATACATTTTTTTTCTGTCTGGACTCTTTTCAGTTTCTTCATATAGACTTTAAATTCAAAATTGTTGTCAAAATATACCTAAATATTGATGTCTTTTTAAAATTATGCCTAATATCAATGATCTCTTTTAATCTGTAGACTCAGGCCTTTCTTCAGATCAGGAGAGTTCTTATTATTATATCTTTTGTTATTTCTTCTGTTCCATTTGCTCTGGAATTTTCTTCAGTAGTAGCTAATATATATATTTGGAATATATATATATATATAATTATATTTTTCCTCTCTCTTTTCATCTCTTCATACCTTTGTTTTATATTTCTGAAAGAATTGTTCACATTTTTACTTCACAAATTAAATTTTCTTTCACTCACTTCTCGTCTCTTACAGCTCCTTTTTTATTTCTTCCTGGGTCTTGCCCAACTATCTCCATTTATCACAAAAAACAATCCCAATTGTTGTGTAGTTGATTATAGCGCCACCTGTCTCAGCTCTGAGAGTGCTATTGACAGAGTCTCAGGCACCACCCTCTCCAGAGATGGCAGCATTGCTAAGATCAAGAGGATCATCTCACTTCTCTGAACCCCTCTGGGTGGTAGGGTGCAATGGGAAGTGAGAAGAGGATGGAGGAGGATGCAAGGGACAGATCCAGAAGGGCCTTGCCTATCAAACTAGGAATTTGAACTCAGCAGAGAACAATAGAAAGCAATGAATCTCTCTCCCCCGGGCAGATACTTCATCCGCAGAACCAGCGACAAGGGCAAGTTCTTCCAAGTAAATAAGCATGGGAATATTTACAATGAGAAAGCACTGGACAGAGAAATCTACCCCTGGTATAACCTGACTGTGGAGGCCAAAGAACTAGATTCTAGAGGTGAGTAGCCCCATCTGCCAGGGTATCTGGGCTTTTCTCCTTTCCTTCATTCATTCAAAACTGGCACAATCTGTCATTGTGGGTCTCTGGAGGTATTATAAGCTCCTACTGAAATACCACTTGACTGGGATGCTATAGAGCCTTCATTCCCAAGTGTGGATGGACCAGCAATGTCCATATCCCCTGAGATCTTGTTATAAGGCCAAGTGCCAAGCCCAAGTCTCAGACTGAATCAGAATATCATGCCCAGTACAGTTGAAGAAGCACTGTTAATAAAAAGGCTGTCCCTGTAACAAGAATCACTAGGGCACCTCTTCACACAGAGCTTTTCAGACTCTCCCCTGAAGGTTCAGGTCCAGTGAGCCAAAAATAGGGCCAAGGAATATGCATTGAACAAGTGCCACATGATTCTTATTATCATGGACTTTGGAAAAGGCTGTCTTGTGGACTCTTTATGTTCCAGTTAGTGGGCTGAATTCAAAATGTGCAGCAGCCTCTAACTCTAAGATTGTTAGGTTCTCCAGAAATTAGTGTAAAATGCCAAAGGGAAAGGCAAGTGTTGGAGTTTTATACCCTTTGCCTACATGAGAAATCACAACTGGCCTGCAGAAGAAGGATTAACATTCCCACCTTACCCAGGGGACCACCACCCAGAGAGGAGGAGAGGATTCAACTTGGCCAAGGCCCCCCTAGGACTACCCGGGAAGGCCCCTGTCTCCTGCTGGGTGTCCCAGACTCCCACATCCCCAATATGAAAGCCAAGCCAACTCTGATGGACTCCTGCATTTTTCAGATGGATTTTTGCCTCTTCCTTCCCTACCTAATAATATTCATACTATTTTTAAATTTTAAAAGTAATTATTTGTTGTTTATTTTAAAATATGGAAAATGCATACTAGGAGAAGAGTATACCATACAGAGACAACAATTGCTGGTACTTCATTGTACCTTCTGTGGTCCTTTTTCTACATATATTTTTATAGAAGGAAGTTCATAATATTTGTATGAAATCATATCCTGCATTTTTACTTAACCTTATTCCAGAACCATTTTCTCATGGTTCTAAAATGTTTTTTAAATTACATTTTTTAAATAAGCATTATAAATGGTCACATATTCCATTCTTTTACAGTGGTATAATGTATTAACCCAATCTCACTTAAGCTATTTACCTTTTAAATCATTTTGTAATTCATTAATTTAATAAATTTTACTTGTTTAATTTAATTACTTAACTAAATCATTAGATTTTTTAATGATTACTTAATTCAATTTAATTAAAACCTTTTAAAATTCACTTAGGTTACCTTTTTATTCTTACAAGTAATTCTTTAGTAAGCATCCTTGTGCCTGAAGCTTGACCTCCTCCCTCTTCCACTCATTTCATCCAGAATACCATCCCTGGCCTCTCTTCCAAAAGTCCATAGCCCCCTCTTCCTGTAAACAGGGCCCCCTCCAGGAATCCCCATGTACACATCAGCTGAGCCCACTGCAGTGACAAGTCCTTTCCCCCTGCAGGAAACCCCACGGGCAAAGAATCCATTGTATGGGTCCACATCGAAGTTTTGGATGAGAACGACAACGCCCCAGAGTTTGCTGAGCCCTACAATCCCAAAGTGTGTGAGAATGCTGACCAGGGCATGGTGAGTCTGGCTCAGGTGGGAGGAAGGTGGTGCCCACCTGGGACAGGCTTCAGAGCCACACCTCCCATCCACAGTCAGTTGCTTAATGTAACCCACACAACAGTCTTGAGGAAAGGTGACACTATCCCTGCTTTATAGCTGGAGAAACTAAGGCTCAGAGAAAATTTGTGCAGAACAGATTGGTGGGGAGGGGGCTGGTACAAAGAGTATCTTTGTGGAGATCATTTAGGTTAGTGTTTCAGGTGAGAGGCAGTCATGGTCAGGTCTAAACCCAAAGTCTCCATCACTGAACCTCAGGCAACCCCAACACCATCACTGACCATCCTTCCTCTTCCACACTCCAGCTGGTGGTGCAAATCTCAGCAACAGACAAGGACATAACACCAAGAAACGTGAAGTTCAAATTCTCCCTGAGCAATGAGGACAGCAACTTCACCCTCACAGATAATCATGGTATGTACACATGAAAGTAGTTAGTCTGGCTCTTAGGAGGGTCAGGGGTGGGGTTATTTGAGTCTTGAAGCATCAGGGTCAAGGACCAAGCCAACAAACTTGAGGCAAGCCTCACTGGGGTTTTCATGTGATGACAAATTTTGTACAATTTCTGCCACATACCTTATTGGTCTGTACAATGGTCAGAGGTGCCCTGGCCAAACTGTCAAGTCCACGTGGCCTGCCATTCCCCATAACAAGCTAGGCATGTAGACTATATACAGGGAAATGTGAAATTTGAAATGCCAAGGATATAGAAAACTTGGTCTTAATTCAATTATGATGACTACTTACCACCCGGGGCTTGGGACAGGATCTGGTCCACCAGTCACAACCCAGAGAGTCCTGTGATGTCAGTAGTAGCCAATCAGAGCTTCTGATGAGTAAGGCTCAGGAGAGTGATCATGCTGAGCTGACTGAATTCCAACCAACAGTAGACAGGTTTCTATAGCTTCTTCAGCTTCTTCAGAAAAATAGGGGAAATTAATCCCCCTTAAATCTAAATAGAGCAATCCTTCACCCAGCACGGGGTGGAATCCCTGAGCATCCCTGACTGGCAAAACAATGGTTGATTAGAATCCTTGTACAGTAACAGCCATTGCAAGGTCAGGATGAGGAAGTTTGGGAAGTGGGGTCTCTGAGAGTTGGGGTAGACCCAGGGGTCAGCCACAGCCTCCTGTGGAATGGGGAAGGTGGCCATGATGTGTTGACAGTCAATGATAGACCATTCAACATTCAGCTGCCTTTAGTAGTAAATAATCTGGCAAAAATAACCATCATCCTGTCCCCAAGGCCCAACTCAATCCCACATCAGAGGGGGTCTGCAATGGGTAGAGAGCTTAAGTGCTTCCCCAAAGACACACCAAATGAAGCTAGGAGGCAAGTTTGTTGGTCCTGGATTCATTTAGAGTGTGAATTATAGTATTAAAAAAGTATAGTGAGGAATCTCTCATTTCTTCCATAGTGTCAATGGCTATATTGTTTACTCTCAATTTTAATAGACAAAGCTACTTAATAATGAAATGTAACTGGCTTTCATTTGAAATCTAAAAGAGCGGCCTCCTTTGCTTTTGGCTGGCTGAGTGAACCAATCCTACATAGCTGATCAAATATCCCTCCAAATCTTGAAGAAGGGAGTCCCTGGACCCTCCTGACTGTCAGTGCCATGACCTTCCAGGGATCCTACAAAAGGCAGATTGTCTGGCCTCTGCCCTAAGCCACTGAGTCAGAAATGTAGAAGAAGGACAGGGAGGAAAGGAAAGAAGGTAGCTAGAAGGGGGGAGGTTTGAAAGTCAGCAGGTTTAAAAAGCTCCCTGAGGAGTTCTCCTGTACCACTGATTGGAGCTGGGAGGGACAGCCAATACTTGTGTCAAAGCACAGTCCCAATTCCAGCCTGCCCCAGATATTCTCAATTCTGTATGTAATCTTTCTCTCAGCACCCTGGGAACATAAGCATTGTTTTTACTTTCTTACCAATTTGCAGGGATAACAGAAAAAGCCTCAGAAGTTAGCCTGATCTAAAAGACTTTTTAAAACTTTATTTTAGCCCTGGATGGTTGCTCAGTGGTTAGAGCATCGGTCCGTGGACCAGAGAGTTCTGGGTTCGGTTCCCACCAAGGGCACGTACCTCGGTTGCAGTTTGTCCCCGGACTCTCTCTCTCTTCCTCCCTCTCTCCTTCCCGCTCCATCTGAAGATAAATGCAAAAAAGATTTTAAAAAAATTTTTTATCCTCAGGTGAGGATAAAAAAATAAAATAAAACTTTATTTTACCCCTTATTACTTGTCAAAGCTTAAAATAATACATTCATTAATTGAGCTGAAAGAGAGTTGCCTGTTATAAGAATGAAGTCAGGGAGGAAGGGGTCATTTCTATCCACAGAAACGGAAGGCTAGAGTTTTACATTCTAGCCAAGCCGTTCTTAAAAGGTAAGTCAAAGGAGCAGCCCAGAATATTCCCTCTCTGGGGGAACAGACCTGTGTTCAAATGGCTGAAACATAAGGCAGGGGATGCACAGAGGCACCGCAGGAATCACATGGGTCGGCACAATCGAGGAGGACTCTGTAGAGGAGGCAGTCTGCACTGTCAGTGTGATAAGGGGATGGGGACTCCAGGCAGTACAACCTGACTCTGAGGCCCTGGTGCTTCCAGATAACACAGCCAACATCAGAGTCAAGTACGGGCAGTTTGACCGTGAGCGTACCAAGGTCCACCACCTGCCTGTGCTCATCTCGGACAACGGGAGGCCGAGCCTCACAGGCACTAGCACGCTGGCCGTGATGGTGTGCAAGTGCAACGAGCGTGGCGAATTCACCTTCTGTGAGGAGGTAGCCCCCCAGGTGGGCGTCAGCATTCAGGCGCTGGTAGCCATCTTTCTCTGCATTCTCACCATCACAGGTCAGTGCCCAGGAGGGCGGGGAGGGGACACTGAGTGGTTGCACCAGAGGAGTGCACCAGGGATCCAGGTCCAGTTTTGCCTCCAACCCACAGTATAGCCCTGGACCAGGACCCCACTCTGGGCACCAGGACTGCCAACTTTACCTCCCTGGGTACCCCAACTTTAAAATTCTTTCCATATGACATTCAACTTATTTATTTTGAACACTTATGTGTGTCAGGCATCATTCTAGGCATTTAGTTACATAAAACCTATTTTGAAAACAGAATCCAATTCACCTTTCAAAAAGAAATGCGAGGTTTAAAAACTTCTAGTTTTGATTGTCTCCAGGAGCTTTCTTTTTTTATATAATATTCCTCCTGCCTTGATATCTCTTTTTTCAAGTTAGGAGCATTTTAGGCCTTGCCTTACTTTGGGTTCCCAAGAAGTAGACCCTGAGACAAGGATTGGGGTACAAGTGTTTTATTTGGAAGGTTTTCCCAGGAAGCCCAGAAGGAAGAGGGGGTGTGAGACAGGAAAAGGAGGTGGACAATAAAGGGTGCATTTTCATGCAAGTTACCACTGAGGGTGACTGGAGCTTCCTCCCACTGGGGACTGGGAGGCAGTGTAGCGCTCATAGTTGGTGTTATCCACCAACTCCCATCACCTGGTGGTTGGGGGCTCCTCCAAGAGGCATAAATATTCCCACAGGTCACCTGCCATGGGTGGGGCAGAAGCCAGTCCTCCAGAGGACACCCTCAGGTAGTTAGACATCAGCCTATGCACTACAGTGATAGGACAACATTATCTTCCTGCCAGCAGTTCTCCTTAGAGGGCCCGAGTGTGTTCCTCTTCTGGGGGCTTCCGGGGCAGAGTGTCCAGATCCAGATTCCCCTTTGAGTAATAATTATTAATAATAATGATAATGGCATTGCCACCTCACATAGAACTGCACTGACCTTATAACCACCTTACCAGATATAAAAAGAGCCGTCATCATTTCCATTTTAGAGACAAGGAAGCTGAGGATCAGAGAGGGTGCCCCAACTTTATTTATGTACATAATGGCTTATTAAGTAACTCAAGTCTAGAAGGATAGAGCCTAGGGGGTGATCTGGCCTTAATTTTAGCAGCTCTCTGCACCACATGGTCCACCCCTCCTCAGGGGTTGGAGACTCTCACACAGCACACCCCTCAGAGCCTTGAGCAGGTCAACATCTATACCACTGCCTAACCATGAGACTCTGGGCGAGTCACTCGGCCTCCCTGAGCTCCCTGAATACCTACCTTGCGTGAGAGAACATGAAAATGTGCCAATATCATGCCAGTACATATACAGTAGGTGCTCAAGAGTGGTGCTGCTCCTGCAGTGAGTGCCAGGTCTGCCAGCACCAACATCACCCACTATCATCACCATAGTAGTCAGTGAAGCCAAGGCTCAGAATCTTGGCACTCCAAATCCCAACTCCACCCCTTTCCCTATTTCTGCCCTGAACTCTGGCATTTTGGCCTTCAAAAGTGGCAGAGGATTTGCCACAGTGGCCTGAGAAGGGAGGAAATGAGGATGTAAGCAGATGAGGGTGAAACTGAAGGAGAGAGGCCCACTATGTACCTCTCCCTCCCACCCCTACCAGAGGTGGCAACAGCCAGTCAGGACCACATGGGGGCAGGGTGGGGCAGAGACTCTGTCCCAGCGAAGTGGGGAGGTGGACCCAGAGGTGTCTGCACCAAAGCAAACCTGTATCGGGCTGGGGTGTCACTGGGAAATTGGAGGAATCCCCAGGGAGGAGAGGTAGGCGCAGGTGAGACCCCAGGGGTCAGGGCCAGCCAGCAGCTGAGCCATGTCTAACTCCCTCCAACCAATTGCTCGCTCACTGGCAGTGATCACCCTCCTCATCTTCCTGCGGCGGCGGCTCCGAAAGCAAGCGCGTGCCCATGGCAAAAGCGTGACGGAGATCCACGAGCAGCTGGTCACCTATGATGAGGAGGGCGGCGGCGAGATGGACACCACCAGCTACGACGTTTCGGTGCTCAACTCTGTGCGCCATGGCGGGGCCAAACCTCCGCGGCTGGGGCGGGACGTACTGCCATCGCCATCTGTGTATAAGCAGGTGCAGAAGCCACCGAGGCACATGCCCCCCACCAAGCACAGGGAGCTCGGGGGAGACATGGCCACTGTGATTGAGGTGAAAAAGGACGAGGCAGACCACGACAGCAGCAGCCTGCCCTTCGACACACTGCACTTGTTCGACTACGAGGGCTCCGAGTCCATCGCAGAGTCCCTCAGCTCCCTGGGCACCAACTCGTCTGATTCAGACGTCGATTACGACTTCCTCAACGACTGGGGGCCCAGGTTCAAGATGCTGGCTGAGCTGTACAGCATGGACTCCCGGGAGGAGCTGCTGTATTAGGGGCCGGGTGCCTGTGGGCCTGGGGACCCAAACCCTTGCAGCTCCAGCCAGCTGGGCACCAGGCCCTGAGCCCTGGAATTACAGCACTGACACCCCAGCCCAGCAGCCCTTCCTTGTGCGTCCCAGAGACCTCACCACCTTGGGCAGCAAACTCCAGATCCCTGAAATGTCTGGGAACATATTTCAATGATGGCTACCCCAACAATGCTGGAAAATCCGAGCTAGTGGTCTGTCTGGGCTTGGATGTCCACATAACCCTGTCACCAGGGACCACAGGTCCAACTCAAAGAATTTTTCTCTGGCTCCTCAAAAAGCTTATGTTTAACTACCAGAAAGAAGTCTTCCCCTGAGGTCCTTAAATCCCCTGGTGAGGCTGGTAAGGCCCTGGTGTCTGTCTGCCTGGAGGCAAAAGGCAGGACAATATAACCTGTGGGTGACACTCCCTACAGCCCAGTCCAAAGGGAGACTGGGACCATCCATCACACCTGCCCTGCTTCAACTTCCTCACACCTTCCCAAGTGCCCTATCACTCCTAGGCCCCCCTCCAGACCTGTCAAGATGGAGGGAGGGGCCCCTGGCAGCTACCAACCTTGGGTCCTCAAGTGACCTCACCTGCCTGCCACACCATACTCCGTACTGTACTGTACTGTACTGAGCCCTGAAAATTCAACCTGAGTCAGGGAAATGGCTTACTGAACTTTGAAGCAACTGTGAATGCATCCTGGAGGGACACTGAAGACCCCATGTGAGAGACCATAGGTGAGGGCCCCCTCCACACCCATACCCTCTGGAGAGGGCCTAGAGTCAAGGTGACCCCAATTTGAGACTCATAGACACTCCTCTAGTTTTTCCTAGGAACTGGGACCAGATGTTCCCAGAGCAGAACACCTCTTCCCATCTCTGCCTTGCCTGGCTGTTCATTCATGCTCTCTCTTTTCTTTCTCTCTCTCTCTCCTCATCTCTTGACTCAGAGGCACTCAAGATATGACCCACAGCAACCAGCAACTCTGGCCAATGTCCAAACCCAAATACAACTGCACGATGGAACCAAGCAATTTGCCTTTACACCTCATTGTTGCCACATCTCAGGGAACCCCAGCAGGGCTCCATCCTTCAGCACTCTGCAGAATACAAGGCCCCTGCCCTACCCAAGCCCTGTGGTCCTCTGTGTATCTCCCACTTTCAGCCATATATGGAACATTCCACTGCAAACACACCTGGGAGAAATAGCATCTCTCAAAGGGAGGAGCAGGGATAGAGGCAAACCCTCCAACTCATCCTTGGTCATGACTAAGGTTCCCACTCTAGGCAAAGCCCCTAACACATCAGGGGATTGTAGATAACACTGACTTTATTTTTAACCAATAACTAGTTTTTTATACTTTTTTTTTTACTAATAATACTTACATATTTCTAGGTCCCACAAAGATATAAAATAAGATTCTTTTGCATAATAAGGTTGATATTTAGGTTAACAATGTTAATTCAGATGTTTTAGTTGAATAAACAAACTCCTGTAACCTTCTATTTCCTATTATTGTCATAATTGCTCAAGAGATATTGACTATATATTGACCACACTGGTGCATGAGCCGTACTGTATTTTTTATATATACCTAAATAAAGATCTTGAAATTCTTCCATTTCTAGAGCTGAGAGAATATATGTGAAACACACACACACACTACTACCAAGAAACAAGGGATTTCAGAAACACTCACCACAGAGAAGGGACCACAGCAGACAATAACAAGGAACACCTAATCCAGATCCCTCTCCTCCCAGAACCCATACCATCACCTAGTCTCTGTACATGCCCCCAATCCCACCCTACACACCAGGCAAGGACCTCTGGAAGCTGAAACTGCAATAAATGAAGAACCAGGGAGGTGAGATATATCAGCAATAAGGGAAGAAATCAATTTCCAATTAGTTGGTTGACAACAGGGGACAGCTGGCACTTTATTGAGATGTGTGAACCCCAACATTGGAATCCTGGCTGGGAAATCTCACAATCAAAACAAGAAGCAGATACCTCCATGTCAGACTCAGGTGTTGAATTGGGTATTGGGTGATAAAGCCCTCTTCAGCATGGCCCCTGCTCCATGACCCCTGCCAGCAGGGTTTCCAGAGCACTGTGTCCCCCGGGAATATTTTACAAACTGTGCTCTATACAAACACTACTTTATTTTTAAATTTATCTTTATTGTTGAAAGTATTACAGATGTCCCCCCATTTTCCCCCATTGACCCTCTCACCCCCGCCCCCGCTTCCCCAGCCCAGGCCATAAATTATGCATATATGCATATAAATTCGTTGGTTAATCTCTTCCCACCTTCCCCTTCCCTCTGAGATTCATTGGTCTGTTCCCTGCTTCCATATCGCTGAATCTATTTTGTTCATCAGTTTATTCTGTTTATTATGTTTCACAAATAAGTGAGATCATATGGTGCTTGTCTTTCTCTAACTGGTTCGTTTCGCTTAGCATAATACTCTCTAGTTCCCTCCATGTCATATCGTCTCAAAGGGTAAGAGATCCTTCTTTTATATAGCTGCATAGTATTACATTGTGTAAATGTACCACAGCTTTTTTATCTACTTATCTACTGTGGGACATTTAGGCTGTTTCCAGATCTAAGCTCTTGTAAAAGTGCTGCTATGAACATAGGGATGCATATATTCCTTCTGATTGGTTTTTCAGGCTTCTTAGGATATATTTCTAGAAGTGGGATCATAAACACTACTTTCTGAAGCTCTCAGGGATCAAATTATCCCAATTCCAATTTTTGCTCTAATTTCCCTTATAGTTTCTTTTTTGATACATTGGTTATTTAGGAATGTGTTGTTTAATTTCCACATATCTGAATTTTCCAAATTTCATTCTATTACTGATTTTTCATTCCATTCCATGATGGTAAGAAAACATAGTTTTTTACAATTTCAGTCCTTATAAATTAATTGAAACTTGTTTTATGCCCTCACATGTTTTATCCTGGAGAACATTCCATGTGTGAGAGGAATGTGTATACTGCTGTTGTTGGATGGAGTGCGCTATAGATGTCTATCGGGACTTGGTTTAAAGTGTCATTCAGGTCTTTTATTTCCTTGTTGATCTTTTTGTTTAGTTCGTCTATCCATTATTAGAAGTGGGTTGCTGAAATCAACTATTATCCTTGAATTGTCCATTTTCCCTTCAATTCTATCAGTTTTTGCTTTGTATATTTTTGGTCTCTGTTGTTAGGGGCACATAAGTTTATGATTGTATCTTCTTGACAGATTGACCCTTTTAGCATTATAAAATGTATCTCTTGCATCTAGGAACAATTTTTATCTTAAAATATATTTTTTCTGATATTAGAATAGGCACTCCAGCTCTTTTTGGTTATTGTTTACATGGTATGTCTTTTTCCATCTTTACTTTCAACTTATATGTGTCTTTTAATACAAAGTATGTCTTCTGTGGACAAAATAATAGTTGGATCATGGCAGTTTATCCAGCCTACTAATTGCTGTTTTTTTATTGGAGGATTCAATCCTTTTCTCTTTAACGTAATTACCAATAAGGTAGGATTTATGTCTGCCATTTTACTATTTGTTTTCTATGTCTTATGGATTTTGTCCCTCTAGTTCCCCAATACTGCTTTTCTATGTTAGATATTGTGTAGTATAGCATTTTAATTATCTTGTCAAATATTTTACTCTATTTTTAAGTTATTTTTAGTGGTTCCCCTGAGGACTATATTTAAAATTTTAACTTATAGCAATATAGTTACAACTTGCACCAACTTAATACAAAATTTTGCTCCTATATAGCTCTACTACCATCCACACCTTTGTAGTACCATTGTCATAAATATTTTTTACATTGCATGCCCATAAATATATATTTATAATTATTACCTTATACAGTTGTCTTTTAAATCCTATAGAAGGGAAGAGTTACAAACAAGAAAATATCTATTTAAACTGTATTTTATATCTACTTATACAACTACCTTTCCTGCTGATCCATATTTATTTTTGTTTGTTTGTTTTGTTTTGTTTTTTCCTTTTTTTATTTTTTATTTTATTTTTGTTACATATGTTTCTCCTTTCTTACCCCATTGACACCCTCCTCTCCATCCCCTCCACCCCGTCCCCGGCTTTGTTGTCCATGTCTATTGGTTATACGTACATGCATATAAGTTCTGTGGTTTATCTCTTCTTTCCCTCCACCACTCCCTCTTCTGAGGGTTGTCAGTCTGTACCCTACTTCCATGTCTGTGGGTCTACCCTATTCCTCGACTGTTATGTTCATTATATTCCACAAACAAGTAAAATCATGTGGTATTTGTCTTTTTCAGCTTGGCTTGTTTCACTTAGGATAATACTTTCCAGGTCCCTCCATGTCATCTCAAAAGATAAGAGATCTTTCTTTCTTACAACTGCGTAGTACTCCACTGTGTATATGTACCACTGCTTTTTTATCCATTCTTCTACTGATGGACACTTGGGCTGTTTCCAGATTTTAGCTATTACAGATAGTGCTGCTATAAACATTGGGGTACATATATTCTTTCTGATTGGTGTTTCAGGCTTCTTAGGGTATATTCCTAGAAGCAGGATCACTGGGTCAAATGGAAGTTCAATTTTTAATTTTTTGAGATAACACCATAGTGGCTGCACCAGTCTGCATTCCCACCAGCAGTGTACTAGAGTCCGCTTTTCTCCACACCCTCGCCAACACTTGTTGATGATTTGTTGATGGCAGCCATTCTGACAGGTGTGAGGTGATACCTCATTGTTGTTTTAATTTGCATCTCTCTAATGATTAGTGATGTTGAGCATTTCTTCATATGCCTCTTGGCCATTTGTATGTCCTGTTTGAAGAGGTGTCTATTCAGCTCCTCTGCCCATTTTTTAATTAGGTTCTTTGTCTTCCTTTTGTTGAGTTGTATGAGTACTCTATATATTTTGGAAATTAACCCCTTATCTGATATATCATTGGCAATGATGTTCTCCCATATAGTGGGTTGCCTTTCCATTTTGATGGTTGTTTCTTTTGCTGTGCAGAAGCTTTTTAGTTTGATGTAGTCCCATGTATTCATTTTTTCCTTTGTTTCTGTTGCCTTAGGTGACATATCAGTGAAAGTTCTGCTGCGTATGATGTCCGAAATTTTGTTGCCTACATTTTCTTCTAGAATTTTTATGGATTCACAGGTCACATTTAGGTCCTTTCTCCATTTTGAGTTTATTTTGGTGTATGGTGTAAGTTGATGGTCTAGTTTCATTTTTTTGCATGTAGCTGTCCAATTTTCCAAACACCATTTATTAAAGAAGCTGTCTTTACTCCATTGTATGCTCTTGCCTCCTTTGTCAAATACTAATTGAGTATAATGTCTTGGATCCATTTCTGGGTCCTCTGTTCTGTTCCACTGGTCTATATGCCTGTTCTTGTGCCAGTACCAGGCTGTTTTAATTATGGTAGTTTTGTAGTATAACCTGATATCTGGTAATGTGATCCCACCTACTTTGTGTTTCTTCTGCAAGATTGCTGTGGCTATTCGGGGTCTTTTTCGGTTCCATGTGAACTTTTGAAGTATTTGTTCTAGTTCTGTAAAGTATGTCGTTGGTATTTTGATGGAGATTGCATTGAATCTACAGATTGCTTTGGGTAGTATGGACATTTTAATTATGTTAATTCTTCCAATCCATGAACAAGGTATATGCTTCCACATTTTTATATCTTCCTCTGTTTCTTTTTTCAATGTCCTGTAGTTTTCTGCAAATAGGTCCTTTACTTCTTTGGTTAAGTTTATTTCTAGGCATCTTAATTTTTTTTTGCCACAGTGGTAAATGAGATTGTTTTTTCAGTTTCTCTTTCTGTGAGTTTATCAATGGTGTATGAGAATGCCGTCAATTTCTTGACATTTATTTTGTATCCTGCTACTTTGCCAAATTCATTTATTAAGACTAGTAGATTTTTTATGGAGTCTTTAGGGTTTTCTATGTATAATATCATGTCATCTGCAAATAATGACAGTTTCACTTCCTCCTTTCCAATTTGGATCTCTTTTATTTTTTCTTCATGTCTGATTGCTGTGGCTGAGACTTCCAGTTCTATGTTAAATAAGAGTGGTGAAAGTGGGCATCCCTGTCTTGTTCCTGTTCTTAAGGGAAATGCTTTTACTTTCTGCCCTTTGAGTATGATGTTGGCTGTAGGTCTTTTATATATGGCCTTTATTATGTCAAGATATGATCCCTCTATTCCAAGATTGCTGAGCATTTTTATCACAAATGGTTACTGGATTTTGTCGAAGGCTTTTTCAGCATCTATTGATATTATCATGTGGTTTTATTCTTCATTTTATTTATGTGGTGTATCACATTTATTGATTTGCAAATATTGTACCAGCCTTGTATCCCTGGGATGAATCCCACTTGGTCATGGTGAATAATTTTTTTGATGTATTGCTGGATCTTATTTGCTAGTATTTTGTTCAAGATTTTGGCATCTATGTTCATCAGGGATATTGGCCTGTAGTTTTCTTTCTTTGTAGTGTCTATTTCTGGTTTTGGAATTAGAATTATGCTGGCCTCATAAAACAA